TTTTTTTTTTTAAGGAACCTTTGATTCCCAGTCCTACTAACCCATCCAGTGTCATACTTAAGGTCCAGTGCACCAACTGGGCTATAACCACCATATATGAAGTTGGATTTTTTTCTTTTGAGATAAGGTCTTGCTCTTTTGCCCAGGTTGGAGTGCAGCGATGTGAACACGGCTCACTGTAGCCTCAGCCTCCTGGGCTCTAGCAATCCTCCTGCCTTAGCCTCCCAAGTAGCTGGGATTACAGGTGTGACATCACCATGCCAGGCTAATTTTTTTAAAAAACATTTTTTTGTAGATGCAGGGCCTCACTGTTTGACCAAGCTGGTCTGGAACTCATTGGCTCAAGTGGTCCTTCCACCTCAGTCTCTCCAAGTATTGAGATTGTAGGTGTGAGCCACTGCATCTGGCCTTGAAATTGTTAGAAATATTTTCAACTTTCAAGCAACCAATTACAGTTACAGTTATTGAATGTTTATGTGCCAAGCCCTGTGCTAATCACTGCAGGTGTGTTGTTGCATTTCATCCTTACAAGAACACTGTGAAGGAGATAGGCCCATTTTACGGATGAATAAACTGAGGTGAACTTCCCCAAGATCATACAATTAGTAGGCAGTGGCGCTGGGACTGAAACCCAGGTCCATGTCCCTATTGTGAGGCATGATGACACACGTTTGAACACGCTTATTTCTTCAGTTAGGGACTGGGCATCACAAGGCCTTTCCATCCCGTTTTTTATCACTCCCTCTTTCTTCCATCAGTAGACATTTGCTTATTCTTTTTGAAAGCAATTTTTTTCCTAAGCATTTCTGATTTCTTAAGGTGAGTTGAAGTGGAAGCATATTCACATTACTTTGCAAATGAGTACTTGGTAAATATTCACTGGTTCTATAAATTATTAGCCACTGCTATGACCGTGATGAGAAGTCGTCTCACAAATTGGATTAGTGATTGCATTTTGAACTTTCTTCATCTTCTTTTTTCAGTAAGCCATTTCTAGTTAAAATTTTGTTTATTTCTTTCTGAAAGGAAGAAGATTTCTCTCCCCATGTCGGCTGTAGTCTGCCTCTGGCTTCGGCACCTTCCCAGCCTTGAAAAAGCAATGCTGCATCTTTTTGAAAAGCTAATCTCCAGTGAGAGAAATTGTCTGAGAAGGATCGAATGCTTTATAAAAGATTCATCGCTGGTACGTGCTGGGCTTTGATGAAGGGAAAAAGTCCTTGAAGGAGATGCTGGGAATCATTTCTTTTAGTCAGAGAATGAAAGGGGGGGATGTAAACAAAAGAGCAATTGGAACCTTTATAAATAATCATGTATTTACATTTTATATTTGAAATCGCTAACGTAGGGGCTTTTCTGCATCCTTGGAGCATGCAGGGACAGATTCGAGGTTTACTTGATTGATGTGCCATATATCACATGTTCACAAGAATTGACATTTGCACAACAGACTTTTTAAAAACAGTATTTATTATTTTAGCATGGAAAATAAGTTTTTAGAAATGAACTTATGGGTAAGAGGAGGAATCAATTAAAAACATTCAAAAAATAAACTTTTAGCTCTTCACTAGAGGAAAGGTGAAATACTCGAGAGACACAAAACCCCAGAAAAATGGTTAAAGCAGCAGAACCTGCTAAGACTTCTGTAAGTTTTCTTTTGGTGTGAGGCCACCTGCCTTCACCCTCCCCTGTGCAGTGATGCTGGCTCCCTGCCCCCTCAGGACTGTGCAGCCGGGAACTCCAGCCCACGTGGACATCCACCTCCAGGCCCGGTGTCTGGCACCCTGGGCTCTCAGTGGCCCTCGCCACCACTGACTCGCCAGTCATCTTCCTTCGTGGGAGGCAGCTCTGTGGGACTGGAGCACATTTGTAGGACGGGAATAAAGACCAAGGCACCCTGAAAAAACGATTCAGAAACCTGCAGTTGCTTTGTCTTCCAGGAGCCCCAGCGGACTCTGCCCTGTTTCCCTTTAGCTTTCGGAACCTGCAGCGATGTGGCACAGAAATTGCCTTCCACCTCTTCCTGCTTCCTACAAGCAGAGAAAGTGAGTTCCGAGAGCCACAGGGAACAGTCCGGTCTTTAGTTGTTGGCCGGGACTCTGGGAAGGAGGGAGTGTTCACCCTCGCCCTTGAGCTGAGACTGAGGAAGTCTCTGAGGTTGGCTGTGCCCACTTGTCCTACCTCCTAGAGGCTTGTTTAGTGCAGCTGGGACTTCTGCGTTCTTTCTTTCCCTTTCTAGTTGCCGACTGTCTAAGGGAATCCTAATGGAGTCAGTTGCCTTCTTCCTCGATCCCGTTTCTCCCCTTGTTTCATGGCCCCTTTCACCCTTCCCCTTGGCCTCCCAGGGCGACGTGCATAGGGTTGCAGGTGCTGACAGCCACGCTGCTCTCACCCATACCTCAGGCTGCACACACTGATCCCACCTGACTTGAACGTTTGCCATGATAGAAGAGAAAGGAAGACATGTGTATATTAAGACTGAGAGCGCCCAAAGAGATTTCTTAAGGATAATTACTACCTAACCTTACCATCCAAAAGAGTCGTATATTAAGGCAAGAAATAGGAATGCACCTTATTTTAAAATGATTGCAGTACAATTCAAAATAAATCACGACTTTCAGAAGCCCTCTGACAGCCCATTCCTGGTGATTCAAGGTCATAAATTACCTCTGTTGTCCACTAAATCTGTTTCTAACTGACATGCGCATACTAGGACTTCAGTTTCTCTGGGCCCTTTTCAGTGGCAAAATATAGTAACTGGGCTATGTGCTTGCTCCCAGGGTGCTTATGACATTTTCTTTAAGTCTTCTCCCTGTTGAGAAATTCTAGTCCCATTGCCTTTTCTCCAGCCTTTCCTTAATCCTTGGATTCTTCTCTGAACCTTCTCCATGTCCTTTTTGCCTGTGGTCCTCATGCCTGAGTAGCACTGTGGTGAGCACAGCAGATGCAAGACAGCGAACGCAGGCTGTCCCATTGCACATCACTGTATAATGCTCAGTCTCCAGTTTGTAGTTTACAGTAATCTTCCGCTGACTTACAAAAGCTTTTATCAGGATCATGTGTGCAGAAATTCAGAGCTTCCATTATGGCTAAAGGGGGATTCTAGAGGGTGTTATTTGGTTTAATGTATTGTGGCACTGGCAGGATGTGACCTCTCTGCGCCTCATGGTTCCAGGAGGTAATTACAATACAGATGATGAGTGGAAGCCCCTGATTGGTGTGGGCTGTTCTCCTCAGCATCCCGGGCCTGCAGTGCCAGAAAGCCAGGCAGGCTGGAATAGGCCTGTGATGTGGCTAAGGGACTGCAGGGGTAACCTGAAGAGCCTGCTTCCTAATTGCATCATCTGATTCATTTATCGCAGTGCAGCATCTTGGTGCAGTGACAGGACTGTACGGAAGTATCAGAGAGATCTCTGAGACTCAGATAGCACGAGACTGCTGCGCCGTGCTCCAGCGGAAACCTGATGCCTATTACATTAGGGTTGGATTCCGAGAGTAATTAAAGTGTGATGGTCTACGTAACTTGTGTTTTATATAGAGCACTGTTAATTATGTTTCTCTCTCTTGGGACTATCCAGAATGAGTCCTGGAAATTCTGTAGTTACCAAAATGTAACAAAAACAAAAGATAAAAGTGTGGTACAGGTTGTACAAAGTGAAATGACCTTCCCACATGTTCTCTGGCCTCTTGGACTCACAGGTCTGGTATTTTCCATTAAGACCATGAATAATGAGGGATTAGTCTCTTATTACCTGAGTTCCAAATGACTGTGTATGTATTTAACATCTAAAATAAAAGAGAAGTTTTCAAAGCCCGTTCACTTTTGAGGCTTCCCCTTTGGCTTCCGTGCAGTAGACCGGACTGCCCTCGAGTCATGCTGTCCGCCACAGTTGGTGGCTCCTACATCAAGCGAGGTATTAGCCCTAGATGGCCATTTACTGTACAGACTGAAACTTTTCAAAAGCAGATGGTCTTGTGTTTCCCTTGACAGCACGGGCACAGGAAGACCATAATCCGTAGCTTCAGACCTGACCTTAGAAACTGACGTCACCCACAGCAGTGAAAGCCCCTTGTTAATTATGCTGCCTTCTTGGCATTGTTCGGTTTCCCAAGGCTGGCCCCGAATTAGAAGGATGTTATGTTTTCTAGTTACAGTTCTGTTTGTGGAACCCAGAAAGCTATTGTTTGGATTCCACATTGGAATGAAAAGTGTCTGCAGGGTGTCAGGGTGGCACTGTGCTTGGCTGGCAAGCTGCATGCCAGGGCTGGAAGGTACCCGGTTCCCATGCCCTCCCTTTCGTTCCTTTGCCAGCAGAGCCCACCCGCAGCTGGGTCCAGAGGAGCTAACCTCATCTTCCCAGGCAGACTTGTCCCCAAAAGAAAAGGAGCAGAGGAGGCACCCAGCTGAGTGTTCTGTTTCTGTTTCACTAATAGTTGATATCAGAATATGCTTCATTTTCTCTCCTACCTGAAAATCTTTATGGTGCAATTCAGAAGATTTATCTAATAAGAACTTAAGAATAAAAAGCATCTAGATACCTCAGTATATATCCTCCTTGGTATGGGATAGGATGTGTTTTTTTCCTCATTCTCCAGGTAGCTATTATAGCACTTCAGAAAGAAAAAGAAACTTCCTTTACACAGACTCCCAGTGTGCAGCTCCTCCTTGGTAAAATGCTGTGCTGAAGAGTTCACTCCACATCCTGGGTGATATCGTCAGTTTGCCGTGCTTAAGTAGCTTTTCAGTAACATGCCAGGGTTTTCTTTTCCTGCTATTTCAGTCTTTTCAGCACTTCCTTTTGAGCTCTTTAATGTGGTGCATGTAATTGAACAAGCGCTGGAGTAGATAATTTAGCAGTGGTCCAGTAGTGCTGGCTGATGTGTGTTGCTAAAAGCTGGAAGATTCTGCGTCTTGGACTGGAGTTGCACTTTCCAGAATTAGCCTCAGGGGGGCACCAGATCCTCCAGCATCGTCTCTGTGAAGACAGAGGCCCACACTGCAAGTTTCCTTGCAATGGAATTGCAGTTGGAATTGCAATTGGGGATGCAGACCTTGTGGCCAGAGATGAAGGGAGAGAGGAAAAAACCCCGAAACAAAGCAGGGATGGACCTAGGGGTCATTGCCACTGAGGCTGAGCTGTGAAGCAGCAGGTGGCCAGGAGCTTTCTTCCGGCCTGGGCTACCCTGGCTAATTGGATAGAGGCCACTGGGCAAGGCTAGGACTTCAGGCAGGGGTAGGGGGCTGGGGAGGGGGTGCTGGGCATCCCTGTGCCTCCCACTTCTGTGTCCAAATACGGAGGAGAGCTCATGTAAATTTAAGACGCAAAAGTACATTTGGTACTTGTTAAGTTCTTAAGCCCAGGAATGACAGATTTATCACTAATTAAACAATAACTGCATTATGGAGTACTGAAAAAATTGTTTGTGTATAAACAACATCTGGTAAAGATTAAAAAGAAAGAATAATTTTTCCAAGCTCCAATTTGTTAAAAGGAACCTGAATGTTTTAAAACAAAATAGATCTGAAAATGTAAAAGGGATATTTAGAGTCTTATGTTTAGTATTTTGAAAATAGAAAAGAAGCAAATGGCATAATAAAAAATACATATTTATAAAGGTGCCTCATAGTACATGATAGATGTAAAGGTTTTGTATAAATAGGTTTTGCTCAAGCCAAATCATTTTTCAATTCAATAGAGGAGTTCACTGGTGAAATGACTCTTATGGAGAATCTTCTTTTTAAGAAGAAAGGTATTTTGTGGTGAATATGCACATATTAACAGCAAGGGCTTCCCACTGTGGAGAGAACAGTGGCTCGGAAACAGCTACACAGTGGGACGGGATTGTCCAGCTGCTGGGTAAACTGGAGGGGAAGCTGCCCATTAGCTGATTCTTTAAATGACCCATTTCCTAAGTAAATATTTAAACTGCATGCAAGTACATGAAAATACCAGGAAAGAATCTATGCCAGGCTTAATGAACTTCAGCTTCTCTGTCATCTGCTATTTCCTTCTTTATTTTTAAGGCGAATATACCTATGAAAGGTGATAGATGGAAAGTACTTGATAATTTTTTCTGTTGCTTCACCGCCTTTTTATTTTTTCTAAAAGGGATTTGCTTTTGTCTGTGAATTACCTTAAATCATAGTCCAATTTCCCTTTTTGGTTTGTTTTCTCTCCCTCTCCTTTTCCCTATTCTCTCTCTCTCTCTCTCTCTCTCTCACACACACACACACACACACACAAAATCAGCAAATGACAGAAAAAAAGAAATGCTTCTTCCTGAGAATTCTGTTTTTCTGCGTTCTCAGGCCTCTTTCAAGTGGCAAGTGGCTTGTAATAATCACTGGTGAGTCGGTATGAAAATAACAGCTTAAGTAAACATCAAGAGCCGGACACAAGAACCTGTGTAATTTGCACAGTTCATGGTGCAGAGTGACAAGTTGGTCTCTCCCTTGCCTGTCCTCCAAAACAGGCATTGAGACCGTGGTGATTGTGTATCGACTCCATGCTGTCCTCCAAAACAGGCATTGAGACCGTGGTGATTGTGTATCGACTCCATGTTGACTTTGTCTTCCTTTGTGTTTTGAGGGATGAAGATGGCCATCTTTCTAGGTGGAGGGGAGATGATGCAGTTTGGGGTAGCCGTGAGGGGAGATGAGAGGGAAAGCACTCATTAGCCCAAGGGGATGCACACCCAGCAGAACCATCGGGTCTATAGGAGAAGGAAGGCAGAACCCAGAGCTCTCCATCGTTGCCCCCCTAGTCATCCTGGGCATTCAGTGAAAAGACTAGGGGAAATAGGGAAGTACAAGACTTGTGTTATTGAAGTCCTCCTGCTGACATAGCTCCCCTCAAGTTGAAATGATCTGCCCGTGGAAATCGTTAGGCCAGATGGAGAAGAGAGAGCTTGAGAAGGAACAGATTTTGGTAGGATGGAGAAAAACAAACAGATGGAAACCACAAAAGGTTTATTTTCTTTCCTTGCTTTTATAGAAAAGATAATGGCCCCGGTCATGGGGCTTTGGAGCCCTGGGCTGCAGCGTGACCTCTGGTGTGTTACCGGAGTGCCCCACCCTACACATAAAACAGGATTCAGAGGTTAGACGCCTGCGTCATCACTTAGAGGAGGCTACAGACATTTAGGGGGGAAGATACTTCGGCTTCCAAAGAAGCGTGTATTAAAACCTTAATTCTATTTGGAAGATTATCTTGATAAGAAAAGCAGCTTAAGATTGCTTTTGTGATTTGATGTCGCTGGGACACATGCCTGACCTGTAGTACTCCAGTCCTCATGACTCACTGACCCTGAAATTATGTGCTCAGAAAGTATAAAGAGTCTCATTTTAAAAGCCATCGGTGAGGGGTGCAGATGAGAAGGAGCTGTTCACAGCTGTGGGGCGGCAAGGGAGACTGGTTTTCAAATCAAAATCTCTGCCGTTGCTGTTTCCGCAGGTTCCCCTGCCTCCTGGTCTTTTATCCGTTTTAAAAGCCAAAATGGGTTGTGGAAGCAGGCTGAGAGTAGCCAAGGGTCTGAAATACTTGGAAAGAAAGAAATCTAAGAGGAGAGTCCATCTGTATGGGAAAGAACAAGCAGATTCCACACAGCCAGCAAACATTTAAAACATCGGACGGAGCGATTTTGCTAGAAAACAGCTCACAGCAGAAGAGCACATCCAAGCTCTCACTCTCTTCTGACGAATGGAGTTAGAGCTGGTTTCCTTGCTGCCCCAGTGGTTTTCATGGTAGCCCTAATCTACACATCTGATCATCATTTTCTTTGCTGTTTGGAAATCACTATAATTAGTATGGAATGATTCTCTACTATCATCAGACCTATAGAATGGCTCTGGGATAGTTTGACTATTTAGAAAAAAGAAATTCAGTTTTGCCATTTTCAAGTTTGATCTTATCAATGCATTTCCAGGCTCTTTCTTGTCTGTCTGCCTGTGGGCACCAAAGAGTGCTATTTGATCTTAAACACTCTTATTCAATAGGCATGTTGTCGTGCAAACTTTGAAAATTGCTCTGGCAAACTTCGATGAATCACATTTCTTCAAGACATACAGTTGCTTTCCCCTTGTTTTATTTTTTTCGTTATGAATGCATAGAAACATTTATGTTTTCCGTGCTTATATCCAGTGACCGCTTAATAACTGTTGTTATTTACAGTGAGACTGGGCAGCAGGAGATTCACTGACATGCCTGAGTTCAAAGCCACGAAATAACCTGCCTCTTCTCTCTCCAACCGTGGTCCTGCCAAATTATTTTCTTGCATAGATAATGAATTTATCTGTAAGAGTTTCAAGTTCCTTTTAGATAAAAATGCACATCAGTGAAGGAGGAGGGAGCATAGATTATTTAGAGTAGGACGTTTTAACTTGCAGATTAGAAATCCTGAGATAATTTTAAAAGGCGATTATCCTGTCCTGGACAAGGGGCGGAGCTGCTGCCTGGAGCCCGGCGGGGCCGGCAGTGCTGGCGAGTGGCCGCTAGAGGGCGCGGGCTCGGTGTCCGCGGGCGGCCGCGGGGAGGGCGGAGCTGCCTCAGTGTGCGCCGGGCACGGGGCGGAGCAAAGCCGCCTCTTTTCTTGCGGATGGGGCGGATGGGGCGGATGGGGCCTGCGAACAGCGTTTCCCGAAGCTATGGTCATAGCACGTGCAGCATGACTGAATTTCCGGGAGCCCCGATCCACCTGCGCGTCGGAGCCGCCCCGCGGTGACTGCGCATGCGCGGAATCCCCCGGTCTGAGGGCGGCCGCTCCGTGGAACCGTCTCCCGGCCGCGTCTGCGGACACGCGCCTTCCACGAAGCCGCTCTGGTGCCAGAAACATCACGGACCCTGCTCTAAAGGGCCTGTTTTGGAACACAAATGGGCGTTTGCATCGGGCATCGTCTCCTACTTTGAGCTCTGGCCAGAACCATAGGGAACCGGGGACTGGGCCGGGGAAGCTGCCCCCAGCTCCCGGGGCTTCCGCAGACCAGTGATCGGAACCCACGGCCGGAACGTCAAGGGGAAGTTAGAGAAGTTAGATGCCTTTTACTCTTCTTCACGAACCCGCTTTTCGTCTTAAATCACGTAAGCTGTTCAGTGCACTAAGATGCATGTGATTGAGTCCGGCGTGGTGGTCGCTGGTTTGCCAGTAATAATTCTGCATTACCATGTACCCATGACCGAATTCGCAGGAAGGAGCAGGCTGCAGGCACGGCCCGACCTGGAGGCACGGGAGCCGTTTGAGGAGGTGGCACAGGCAGCCCCCGCATGCGGGCAGAGGATGTGTGAGTTTCCGTAGTGCCTACTGATCCTGTGTTATGGATCGCCTGAGCTTTTGTACAAAACGTGGGACATACAGGAGTATACAGAGGAATATACAGGAAGCCTGTACCCCTGCCCAGGAGACCACCGTCTGCACTTGTACGTGGGGTGTTTTCAGTCCAGCAGTGCTTGTGTTTTCTAACCAAAAGGAATATGCCAGTGTTCTGGACATGAGCAGTTCCCGATAACTCCTGGGGCTGATAATAGCAAGTTTCTGAGAAAGTGCCTGCGATATTTCACCTTCTCCTGGTCTCCTTTTACAGCCTCAAGCAGCCTGCCACCCTGCCATATTCCGCGTTGTCGATGAGATGTTCAGGTAAATGTTACACTGTTTCTTCTAGTAATAGATGCGAAAAAGGTTCCATTTCCAAACATGAAAAGAAAATGCTGTGGCAGTCTCTGGCTGTACCACAGGGAAATTAGAGTTTCTGATTCCCTCCTATTCCTCTGAGCTTTGTGGTAATTAGAGGTAAAAACTAAAAAATCAGTGTAAATTTAAAGGCCAGTGCCTAAGAATTAAGATAACTTTCTTTTCTTTAGCCTTTAAAGATTCTAATAATAGAAACACAGAATTGAGTTAGATATTAATATCATGAAATATTCATGTAGGATTTTTCTCAGCTCAGAATAAAGGGTAGCAATATACTCCCTTCACCACGTGAGGGCTGACCAATCTTTTTAAAAGACTTTAAAGCTAAAGAAAGCCAAGAAAAATAAATAAATAGTCATTCTTAACAGAGCTCTTCTGTGGGGCAAAATACACCTTGCATGTTCTCTTACAACACATTGAATGTTTATTTTGAAAATACGAGTACTTCTTGGAAAATGCATTAGATTTACAGATGGCAAGAGACGAGGAGCTCATAGCCATGAAGCTGAGCTGTGGCTGGCAGTTAGTGGGAGTTTTAACCATGGAGTACTAAGACTGGACCCAGCTGGGGAGCTTGTCAACCTGGAGTGTCCCAGCCCCTCTTCCAGGGGAACCCGTATCAGCTCTCTCTCTAGTCCCTCCCACCTAATACACAGCAGCAGAGGCTGCAGGGCAGACTGCAGACTTTGGGGAAAGGAATTTTTACAGTAATGACTGTTTAGGGTTTAAAGCTAGCAAAATTTGAGGGTTTTTTTTTTTTTTTTTTTGCTTAAACAAACATAAAGAAAAATTAATTGTATGAAAATGCACGGAAACCAAACCAGGTACAGGTACACACAGATTCTTTTCCTACTTTGCTGGGTGGATGGACCAAGCCATTTCTCCACTTGTGAAAGCAAAATATTGACGTTGCGTGTCCAGGCATACAATACAAAAATATTTCTACAGAGTATGCAAGTCTGTATGGAAGGCATTTGCATTGCTTAATAATTTAAGAACCAAGAAAGAGAGCTCTACACATTGCAATTTTAAAGAAAATATTTACAAAAGGGAGCAACAGATTTATCCTGCTTTCCCACAAGGACTGAAATCTGATGAGTTGAGATACTGCTGAAGCTTATGGCACAAAAAAAGTGTTTCCACTCTTCCCTTATACAGTACAGGTTTTTATGTTTGCCGGATGACTTGTTAAACGTGTTCTGATCTGACTTTGCATTGTTCAGGTGTGCACTCCTGGAAACCGATGGGGCCCCGGAAATCATAGCCACTATTCAAGTGTTTACGCAGTGCTTCCTAGAAGCTCTGGAGAAAGAAAACAAGCAGGTTTGTTATTATGCATCTGTTACTCGTTCATCCCAAAGAATAAGAGGCTGTTGGGAGTATTTTGGACAAGAGCACTTTATTTTCAGTAATTCTGATGGACTGTTTTGCTCACAAAGACAGGTTCCTAATGAGTCCCCCAACAAAGGTTAAACCATTTTAACTTAACACAAATCAAGATCTGTCTGTCCCGTGCCCTGGTACCCACAGGCATCTGTCTACTGTTGTATCTGAGAACTCTGTGAAGCCAGCATGCGTGGCCCTGTGCTGTGCGCTGTCTGCCGAGTGGGACTCTGCCCTCTGGCTGCATCTGAGCTTCCCAGGTCCGCAGGAGGCGTCCTGGGGTCTGTATGGCATGCACTGAATAGGAAAGGGCATTTATTGCAAAGCAGTCCTGGACATTCTTCATTATTTGCATCTTTATTCTTATCAGAGACCCAAATGTGAATTGGATTCCAGGAAAGGAGGTGGTAAGACTGACTGGGAAAGGCTTGACTAACTAGAGGAGGAGCGAGGAAGGGCAGTGAGCAGGAGGTGTGTGTTAGGCACAGTCGGTAAACCAAAGGCCAGGCCTGAACCCTGCAGAAGATTGTGCTCTAGGTCCCCAGCAGCAGAGGCTGGGCAACAGCTGCCAAGGGTCACTGACCAATTAGAGTGACCTCATGAAACAGCAACCTTTGCTACCAGAGAGCTTTCACCTTTCAGCATTTTATTTGGCCTTGATTTCTAACGGCCACAGAAGTAATGTTTATGGAACATATTGCCTATCGAGAGCAGTGCTGGTCCAGCGCATCTCATCTGTGGAGTATGTCACGGCCCCTGTGAAGCTCTCTGCAGTTTGACTTCTGAGAGCAGAGCTACAGTGCTTGGCTCCACCGGATCACACCCTCGTCAATGTCAAACAGATCTCTTAGGTTTTAGCTGATATTTCTACTTTTTCTTTTTCTTTTTTTTTCCGAGACAAGGTTTCACTCTGTCACCCAGGCTGGAGTGCAGTGATGTGATCTCAGCTCACCGCAGTCTCAACCCCCCACACTCAGGTGATCCTCACACTTTAGCGCCCGCGAGTAGCTGGGACCACAGGTGCACGCCACCACACATGGCTACTTTTTGTATTTTTTTATTAAGTGCAATTTCCATTTTATTTTTCTCCAGAGAATAGTCCGTCTTCAGTCCTTAAGGACTCAGCTCCTTACGTGGGCTTTGGTGGGGAACGTGGGACAGCACCCGCAGATCTAAATCGGGGTAGGGGTGTTCGGTCCTTGTGGGCTTCATGAGATCAATTCCTGACTGGTTTGCTGTGAATTGCACAACTCGTACTGTAGCTTCACGCACAGCTTGGGAAGCACATAGGCATCGAAGACGCCTGCTTCAGAAACATTCCTGACTGCTGCGGCCTCCACTGTGTTTCCAGTGACAAATTGCTTAATGGCCTTGTCCTTGGGCACACATCGGGCACAGTTTGTGCAGCAAATAGGCTGCGCGTGGCCGCGGCCCTTTTTGGCACGACCGTTGTTCCTTCTTTTCTTCGTCATATTGGAGGCACGGACTGGAGGGAGCACTCATTTTTGCATTTTTATTAGAGATGGGGTTTTATCATGTTGCCCAGGCTGGTCTCAAACTCCGGGGCTCAAGCAGTCTTCCCACCTTGGCCTCCCGAAGTGCTGGGATTACAGGTGTGAGCCACCACACCCAGCCTGTTTCTGCTTTTTATAACAACAATATATATTTATTTTATTTTTTGAGACAGGCTCTCACTCTGTCACCTAGGCTGGAGTGCAGTGGTGTGATCATGGCTCACTGCAGCCTTCGGCTTCCTGGGCTCAAACGATCCTCCCACCTTAGCCTCCCGAGTAGTTGGGACCACAGGTTCAAGCCACCACGCTGAGCTAATTTTTAAATTTTTTTTTGTGGAAATGGAGTCTCTCTGTTACCCAGGCTGGTCTCGAACCCCTGGGTTCAAGGGATCCTCCCACCTTGGCCTCCCAAGGTGCTGGGATTCCAGGCTTGAGCCACTGTGCCTGGCCAACAATAAATATCTGTGATTTATTTTTTCCCACCCTCACTTTCCCTGGAGAAGTTAGCTGGGCTGTAGCAAGCTGCGCTCTCCGTGGTCCCACCTAGAGTTTTGGAGGCGGCTCAGTTGGAAGGCATGGCTGGTCCTCACGGTTATTTTAAGCCTAACTGTCAATGTCTTTATAGTCCCCATTAGGAACGGGCCTCTAGGGAGTCTCACCTCGGCCTCGCGGAGCACACCTGGGTTGTAGCAGCGGCCGCGGAGGAACGCCACCGTGCTCTTTAGGCTTAGCTCACGCCTGTTTTTCTTCTTGGCTTCACCCTCAGCCTCTGATTTGGCCGTGGCCACTGTGGATTGGGACTGATGTTGCAGTTGCTTTTAATTGAGAATAGTGCCCTGACCAGGCATACGTATCTAAGGACGTGGGACCACACATGGGGTCCTGGTGTGAGGCAGGGCAGGGATCCGAAAGCAAACAGGAATTCACCACCCTCACCTTCAGCTCAACAAAGGAGAGCAAAGTCTCTTCGTTTTGCCGATGCCTGCATAGGTATCTGTTAGTTTATTTCTCTTCCTAGAGCTGTTTCTGCGTGCCTGCCTTTTTAACTGATGGCCGTCCGCATCTGTTGACCCTCTGCCTTCTTGAGTGTCCATTTTTAGCTAATCAAAACCCCTCATGTCATATTTGGTAGATGCATGACCCTCTTTTCTCTCTGTGGTTTATTCATTAATTCTTTCTTAATAAAATGAATATCTGTAAACCTGCTATCTAATCATCTGAATACGTGTCTATACACATACTCCTCCTTGCCTCTCTCCCTCCAGGTAACCTCTGGTTTGAATTTTATGTTTATTGTTCCTTTGCTCTTTCTAAAGGTAGTTTGATCACATATATATGACTGCCTAAACAATGTTTTGTTTAGTTTCGGTTGTTTTTGCACTTTATAAAACAAACAGGAGCAGCATACTGTGTGCAGTCTTTTGAGACTTGCTTTTCCACTCAGCAAAGACTGCTTGACGTTGCCATGTGTGGCTGTGGGGAAGTGTTGTTATGCACAGTCCATGTGAAAACGTGTGGCGGTACAGCCATCCTGCTGCTGGGAGGCACTGGGGATGCTTCCAGGTTTTGTTTTTTATTACAAACGATGTTGCTGTGGACACTCTGGGACAGGTACTTCGGAGTGGAAGTGTGTTCTATGCAGAGGTTCAGCTTTCATAGATCCCGCCATGTTGCTGTGGACACTCTGGGACAGGTACTTCGGAGTGGAAGTGTGTTCTATGCAGAGGTTCAGCTTTCATAGATCCTGCCAGACTCATTTCAGAAGTGTTGGTGCCCATTTGCACTTCCTGCGACGGTTTATGAGTGATCCCGTAAATCCACATTCTCACCCATCATCAGAAGCATTCACGTCAGTGATTCTGTCTCTTCTTACCCTTTGCTCTTGCCCCTGTTCTGTTTGGAGGACACAGTCAGCTCCGTCATTATGCCCTATCAGACAGTAGGCAGAAATTGAGGTGGGTGTGATAAGCCACTTATCCGAAGCCCGCACTGTGGCTTAGTACAGCCAGTCAGCTCAGTTTCTGGTTGCAGCCATGACAGCATCTGTTCATGAGCTGGATTAAATCTCCCAGAGATAAAAATGATAAACTCCAGGCAAAGTATTTTTTAAAATCTATTTGAAGGCATACAGAGCACCTGAGAAAGTGGACGGAGACTGGAGGCCACCAGCGCTTTAAAGGGACACCACTCTGAGAGGTCTCCTGCCCCCCTCACCCCACCCCGCAGCTGCCCTCATGTGAGGTTGGGAGCGGGTGTGGGGCCGGGGAGGGCCAGAACTTAGCACAATCGGATTGAGTTAAGGTGCCAAAAAATAGAAATGTAAACTGCCAAAGGAACAAAAAAAAATTGAGGGGGAAAAAGAAAACCAATGTCAAAAGGTAGACCTAAACCCAAAACTACCACGAATGACATTAATTTCAGCCATTAAATGGAAGTTAAATATTCTAGTAAAAAGGCAGAAATGTCAGACTGAACAAAAAACCAAAGACCTGGCTGGACACGGTGGCTCATGCCTGTGATCCCAGCACTTTGGGAGGCCAAGGTGGGAGGATTGCTCGAGTCCAGGAGTTCAAGACCAGCCTGGACAACATAGTGAGACCCCAGTCTCTGCAAAAAAATAAAAATAAAAAATTAGCTGGGCATGGTGATGCATGCCTGTAGTCCCAGCTACTCGAGAGGGTGAGGTGGGAGGATTGCTTGAGCCCAGAAGGTGGAGGCTGCAGTGAGCCATGATCACGCCACTGCACTCCAGCCTGGATGACAGGGCGAGACCCTGTCTTAAAATGGAAAAAAAAAAAAAAGATTTTAAAAGCTATTGTAATCAAGACAGTGAGGTATTGGCAAAAAGACAACCGTAGATCAGCATTGAGTCCAGATATAGACCATGCATATGTGGCCAATCGATTTTTGACAGAGACGCCAAGACAATTCAATGGGGAAAGGAACGTTTTCAACAAATGATGCTGGAATAACTGGATGTCCCTATGTAGAAAAATGAGCCTCAACCATTACCTTACACAGCACACAACAGTTAATTGGAGAGGATCATGGGCTGCAACAGAAATGTTAGAACGATAAAGCCCCTGGAGAGAGCGTAGGAGAATGTATCTGTTTGACCCTGAGGTGATCCAAGATTTCTCAGAAGCACTAACCGTAGGAGAAAAATGGATAAATTAGATCTCATCAGAATTTAAAACTTCTAGGCTGGGGGCATAGCTCACGCCCGGAATCCCAGCACGTTGGGAGCCCCAAGGCAGGAGGATCTTTTGAGCCCAGGAGATGGAGACCAGCCTGGGCAACAAAGTGAGACCCCTTCTCTACAAAAAATACAAAATTTCGCTGAGCGTGGTGGCACACACCTGTGTCCTAGCTACTCGGGAGGCTGAGGTGGGAGGATCACTTGAGCCTGGGAGATCAAGGCTTATGATCATGCCACTGCACTCCAGCTTGGGCAACAGAATGAAACCATATCTCAAAAAATAAGAAAGGAATTTAAAATTTATATGCTTTGGTAGATATCATTAAGAAACTGAAAAAGCAGGCCAGGCACGGTGGCTCATGCCTGTAATCCTAGCACTTTGCGAGGCTGAGGTGGGTGGATCACAAGGTCAAGAGATCAAGACCATCCTGACCAACATGGTGAAACCCCGTCTCTACTAAAAATACAAAAATTAGCCGGGGGTAGTGGCATGTGCCTTCAGTCCTAGCTACTTGGGAGGCTGGGGCAGGAGAATCGCTTGAACCCGGAAGGTGGAGGTTGCAGGGAGCCAAGATCACACTATTGCACTCCAGCTTGGCAACAGAGCAAGACTCCGTCTCAATAAATTAAAAAAAAGAAAGAAGAAGAAGAAGAAGAAACTGAAAAAGCAAGCCGTTAGCTAGGAGAAAATATTTGTAATAACATGTATACAACAGAGGACATGTGTCCAGAATATATGAAGATCTCTTATAACTGCCTAAGAAACCAGTTTCGAAAATGGACAAAAGGCTTGAATATACTTTCAAAAAAGATATACAAATTGGCAGTAAGCACATGAAAATTGTTCGGCATCATTTGCCATCAGGAAAGTGCAGAGTGAAACAGGTAGGAAAGCAAGCATACATGGGGTTATGTTCCCTAGCCACTAGAATGGATGAAATTAGTAAGACTGACAGCACCAAATGCTGGGAGCACGTGGAGCACCTGGAGTTCACACACATTGCTGGTGGGAGTGAGATGACACAACACTGGAAAACCATATGGCCTTATGATGTTAAACAAGCATCTATCTGTGACCCAGCAATTCCATTCCAATGGTGTGCCCAGGAGAAACAGAAACACATGTCCACAAAAAGACATATGTATGCATGTGAACTACAGCTTTATTCATGATAGCCCTCACTGGAAGCAGCCCAAACTTGAAGCAGCACATCAAGAGGAGAATGGCCAAACAGACTATGGCATATTCATACCATTCAGACTACTTCTGAGCAATAAAAACAGAATGATCTACTCGCACACAATAACATGGTTTAATCTTTAAAAAAACATGTTGAGCCCAAGAAGCCAGACACAAAAGAAAACATACTTTATGTTCCCTTTACACAAAATTCAAGAATAAGCAAAATTAATCTCTCTTGTCAAAATCAAAATATTGGTTGCCAGGGTGGGGTGGAGGGAATGATTGTTAAGAGTTGGAAGAGGTCTTCTTGGCGTGATAGAAATGGTGTCTTCACTGGGGTGGCGGTCACGTGGATTTGCTCGTTTACCAAAACCTCATATACTTAAAGCCTTTGCACTCCATGCTTTATAGATTTTACCTCAATGTTTTAAAAAGCTGTGCCACTTGGGGGTGTGGATAGCTGGAGCTCTTTGGCCCTTGAAAAGTGAGCACAATTGTTTTATGCTTTTGTTGTTATTTTAAAAACCACGCTGAGCCGGCACAGCAGCTGACGCCTGTAACCTCAGCACTTTGGGAGGCCGAGGCGGGCGGATCACTTGAGGTGAGGAGTTAAGACCAGCCTGGCCAACATGGTGCAACTCCATCTCTACTAAAAATACAAAAATTAGCCTGGCATGGTGGCGCGTGCCTGTAATCCCAGCTACTCAGGAGGCTGAGGCAGGAGAATCATTTGGACCCAGGAGGTGGAGGTTGTAGTGAGCTGAGATTGTGCCTCTTTACTCCAGCCTGGGCAACAGAACGAGACTCCATCTAAATAAAAAAAAACAAAAACAGGCCGGGCACGGTGGCTCACGCCTGTAATCCCAGTACTTTGGGAGGCCGAGGCGGGCAGGTCACCCGAGGTCGGGAGTTCGAGACCAGCCTGACCAACATGGAGAAACCCCATCTCTACTAAAAATGCAAAATTAGCCAGGCGTGGTGGCGCATGCCTGTAATCCCATCTACTTGGAAGGCTGAGGCAGGAGAATCGCTTGAACCCGGGAGCCAGAGGTTGCGGTGAGCTGAGATCACGCCATGGCACTCCAGCCTGGGCAATGAGCAAAACTCCGTTTCCAAAAAAAAAAAAAAAAATGCTGAAATACCTAACATCTCACAACTGCTCTGACAAGTCTTTCTGAAATAGAAGGTTTATTTGTATAATTGGGTTCATGTGAGGTAGAACTCATAAAGACATCAAGAGCATAACTTTATTATTTTTCTTAAGTCCCAGGAGGTGATTTAAAAGGTTAATTATTCTGGAAAATATGAGGTTACTGGGAGCTTATTTTTCAAAAACTAAATGTTTCAGAAAGTGTTCTGACCATGTTAGTACTGGTGGGTCTTTTTGGGCAGAGGACTCAGAGTTTTGTATTTTCCTGACCCTGTTTCAATCTTAATGTTCATGCTCTTTGGATTTTCCATCCTGTGACAGCTGCGGTTTGCACTCAAGACCTACTTTCCTTACACTTCTCCATCTCTTGCCATGGTGCTGCTGCAAGACCCTCACGGTGAGTTAGGGTTGACTCTGCCCACATCAGAATGGTTTCCTGGGAAGAGCACTGTCAAATGATGGCCTCCCCACCAGGCCCTTATCTATAGCATGAGGGAGACACAGCTGGTTATTTCTAAGATCCTTTGAGCGTCCAGGATCCCACATTCTGTAGATTTTGATATGAGAGTCGTCTTGGCTTCCCAGTTGTGATCACTTCCCAAAAGAAGAAGGAAAAAAAAAAAAAAAAACCAGTGGCCTCTGCTAGGTCTTGCTAGTCTGCCTCCAGATAACACAGGCTATGCTGGTGCCAACCAGGTCCGCCAGATGCTAGGAACAGGCCAAGACGTGGCTGAGTCGGAAGAAAACAGTACCTTCATTTGCTTTTCATTCTTTCTACTCCGTGCAGCCTTCTTGCAGAAGAAAAGATAAAATGATGGATGAAGCTGAGGAAATTCAGGGGAGGTTCCCCCTAACTAAGCTAAGGGAAGGATTTTGAGAGTGTTCAATAAGGTGCTTCATCCGCAGCCTTTCCTGATACCCTTTGCCAGCCTTCCAAAGGCTATCCGGGTGGGGAAGTGGTGGTTCCAGCCTTCATTCGACTGGTGTTGATCCAGGAATGTGGCTGTGAGCTCATGCTTAGAAGACATTTCAGAAATACAGAATAAGGGCCCCCTTTCCCTCTGAGGCCTGAAACCTGACGGAAGGCAGTCCTGACGTGGGCACAGACTGTGCCAGCCAGAAAGGGGCCTTATTGGAGCATGGCAGGAGAGGAGACAGAGGGAACGAGCCAGTCACATTTCCTTTTTATGCCATTTTGGGCCTGCCTTTTTTCTGAGACGAGTAGATTTGTTTGAGAAATGCAAATGATTCGAAGTTTCAGAGCATTTTACAAAACCTAAATTCCTCTTCCTTTTTCAAGAAGATGTAGGTTCTTGCCCAGGGTGATCCCCTGACACTGTCCTCTCAGATGCCGGAGCTGGGGATGGGGTCTCTGGGTGACAGTTTTATGAAAACCCTTGGGAAAACTTTATTAACAAGACAAAAATGAGGAATTCACTCTCCCAGGGTCCACCCTGCAGCTTAGGTCAGACCAGCAAAGCCTGAAGTCAGCCGACAGGGGGCGCCGAGTGAGCTCCAGAAAATGTACCGGAGTCGTTAGCGTCTCCGTGTGGAAACAGCAAACAAACAGTGAGGTGGTGCGTGGGCACGGGCCCAACCCTCTACCTTTCCGTTTGTGTAACTCGTAGATTTATGTCCAAATATAAATAGGTGGCTTCAAGCAGAAGTGCAAGAACCTCTTGTGCTAGTTCCTAGAACAGCTGTCTGTATGTTACTTTGGCAAACAGTGTGATGGTCACACACTGAAGAAGTGTTTTTTAGTAGCATGATCTTCTGTTCATCAGAAATTTATTTCATGCCCATTGTGAAGGTCAGGGGAGGGGTGTAAAAGATGATCACTTCCAAGCCCTGACTGTGTAGGAACTACAAGTGGAGGAAATGCAAAATAAATGTCTAAATAGCTAGTAGAAGGAAGAAACGAAAAATGCCTTCAAAAGGCTGTGCTCCAAGGGCCGCGGGCGTTCAGAGGAGGGAGGCACTGGCCTTGTGGAGTAGCAGCAGCTCATCCATCACTCGCCTTATCTTCCTTGTGTGTTCGATTGTAGCATCTATCACTATGTGAAAATTTTTGCAGATGCTGCGTAGAACTGCAGATATGTGCTGCTCAGATGTGTGTAAAACTACAGGATGACTGTGACACCAGAGCAGCTCACTCAAGAAAAGACGTTTGTTTGCATAATGCTCACTTATTTTCTTTCCTGGCCTTTTTTTCCACTGTAAACCTGAAATCGTATCGTGAGTTCATCACAGCCCTAGGAAAGCAGTCAGGCCGTCTATTCCTAGTTCCTTGTTGGCTGCTTTACTACAGCCTCGCTCTATTCTGAAATCACACATTAGTGATGGAGGAGTGGGTAGGTAGAGAAGAAGAAACCTAGGCATCCGCAGCCGGCATTTCCCAGTCTCAGCAGGGGCTGCTTATGCAATCTCTAGCTACTTCCATGTACCTGAATTCAAAAGTACTTGAGGCCAAGTGTGGCGATTAATGCCTGTAATTCCAACACTTTGGGAGGCCAAGGGGGAGGATCACTTGAGCCCAGGAATTTGAGACAAGTCTGAGAAACATAATGAAACCTCATCTCTACAAAAAAATTTTAAAAATAGCTGGGCATGGTGGTGCACCCCTGTAGTCCCAGCTGCTGGGGAGGCGGAGGTAGGAGGATTGCTTGAGCCCAGAAGGTTGGGGCTGCAGTGAGCCGGGATCGTGCCACTGCACTCCAGTCTCTGACAAAGCAATACTGTGTCTTAAAAACCCCCACAAAACTAAATAAAGAGATTAGATTCTTTGAGGTTCAGCTCTGTGTAATATGGACAGATCTTGCTTAAGAGAGAGGTACTGACTGGGAAGAGCATGCAAACAGTATTGGGTTCTGTGAAGCAGAAGTGAAGGGTGTCTCCCGAAGACTCTGAGGTCGTCCCTGCAGGTGGCTCCTCGCCGGCTTGCCATTTCCTCACTTGCCCTCTGACGTGTCTCTCTCCACCCGCAGATGTCCCTCGGGGACGCTGGCTGCAGACACTGAAGCACATTTCCGAACTGCTCAGAGAAGCGGTTGAAGACCAGACTCATGGGTGAGCAAACACTGACCACTCCCAAATCTACTTCACACACGGGTTCCCTAGATCCTCATCTGCCCTTTGAGCAGGGCTGACAGGACAGAGGAAGGCGTTACTGGTCTGGGACCGTCACCAAACAGGTGAGCACCATGGTGAAGTGAGAAGTGGAGGAAGCACATGGCCGCACGGATGGCTTGGAGCAGGTCAGGATGAACAGGCATGCGCGTGTATGCGTGTGTGAACACCTGTATCGAAACGTTTCTACGTAATGTCTGATTTTAGATTTCAAAATATACAGGCATAACAATGAAGAGAAGAGACGCTGGAAAAAGCAGCACCCACCTGCTGGGAAGCCGTGGCCGTGCAGAAGGAAAAGGCGTTTGTTTGGGGGCCTTTGGTCTTCTCTCTTCCTCTCTAGGGAAGGAAATTTGCAGCCTCTGCACAGTAGGGTGGAATGTTAAATGCTTGTTTTCCTTCTCTTTAACAAATACCTCTAAAATGAGAAAACCTATTCTAACAAATTCTTTTTTTTTTTATTTTTATTTTTAGAGATAAGGTCTTGCTCTGTGGCCCAGGCTGGAGTGCAGTGGAATGATCACATCTCACTGCAGCCTCAAATTCCTGGGCTTAGGTGATCCTCCGACTCAGGCTCCTGAGAGCTGGGACTACAGGCGCACACCACCACACCTAGCTAATGTTTAAATTTTTTTTGTGACTGGGCGCGGTGGCTCATGCCTATAATCCCATCACTTTGGGAGGCCGAGGCGGGTGGATCACGAGGTCAGGAGATTGAGACCATCCTGGCTAACCCTGTCTCTACTAAAAATACAAAAAAAAAGTAGCTGGGCGTGGTGGCGGGCGCCTGTAGTCCCAGCACTCAGAAGGCTGAGGCAGGAGAATGGCGTGAACTGGAGAAGCAGAGCTTGCAGTGAGCCGAGATCACGCCACTGCACTCCAGCCTGGGTGACAGAGCGAGACTCTGTCTCCAAAAAAAAAACATTGTAGAGGTCTCGCTGTATTGACTCAAATTCGTGGGCTCAAGTAATCCCCTGCCTTGACCTCCCATCGTGCTGGGATTACACGTGTGGCCTGCCGTGCCCAGCCTGTTAATTTCTAACAGTAGTGTTAGGTACCGTCTTATGTGTGTGATTTCCCTGAAAGCATTCACATTTATGCCTTGCTGAATTCCTTGTATCATAACACTCTTTGGCTTCCTCTTAACTCCCTTTCTTTTAGAGTATAATTTTATTCATTGTCCCTGCTAGCCTACTAAGACTATCTTATTTGTTCCTTTTGCCACTTTTCACTCCTGGAGTTCTCTGTAATCTCACACCAAGTTGACACAGACGATGGGTGACATCGTCTCTGCGATTGATGGCTCGGGTGCCAGCTGCTCACTCCTTCCTCACCGTGCTTCTCACTGACAGAGACCAGAGAGAAAGGCCTGCAGCCAGGGGGCTCCACGGCTGGCCACGTGAATAGCCTGCAGTGGCCAGTCGGCCCCACACACACCCTCCCTGGTTGTCCTGGCATTACACAGAGCTGGACCTTGAAGAATCTTAACTCGGGGACAGGGAAGTGGATGGAGGTGGCATAAGCAGGCCACCCTGTGATTGAGAAATGCGGTGCCCTGGGTGCCGCGGGTGCCCTGGGTGTTTTTCTCTTCTCCCTGCCCACCCTCTCCGCCATCACTCAGAATGTGTGATGTCAAAATGCGTGGAGACTGGAATAACACAGCCACCAGAAAGGATGCATGTGGTGCTACAGGGCAGGACTTAGACCTCCTGGGGCTCCCACCTCAACCCGGACCTTGGGGCCCTGAGACACCTTTCAGGTGGCCACATGGGACGCCTTGTGCATTCAGCTACTGGTGGAAGACAGAGGGAAGGACGAGGCTGGTCTCTGGTCCTGATCCAGGCACGCTGCCAACCTGGGGAGCACGAGGGAGCCCACTGCTCCGTGCGTCTGTCTACCCTGACATGGTGCCTGCAGGGAAGAGGCGTGGCGGAGTCCCCTCCTCACTCTGACACAGCCTAACCCCGCCCACAGCCAGCGTGGCCAGCAGAGCATCAGCTCTGTGTCCTGGGAAAGAGGGAGTAAGACCAGTACTCCACCCTCCCGTCTTTTTGTCTCTGTTGCTCAAATGTAGAACATTTAACCACTGGTTCTCAGGAAGGACTGGGGCAGTGACCAGGGAGGCGAGGACGGTATTTAGAGCTTGGGAATTCCGCGGGCCAGGCAGAGGAACATGGAGGCGGATCCAGCAAAGGGGCCAGGAACACGCCTGTTGCAGCCGCTGCCCGAGTCCAGAAGGAAAGTTCTCATCTAACGAGATCTCAGGCCGGTCTGTTCCATCCTCGCCAAGGGGAATGTTCACCTGCGGAGGCTGGCACTGCACACAATTCGTGGCCCTTACCTCGAGCAGATTCTACCCTAAAACAAGTATTGCAGCTTCCATCTGCCAGTGTGGCGAGGGGATAGCCTCGCAAACGCTTTAACTTTCTGGCATTGACGCACACATGATGACAGCAGCTCATTAAAAATTCCTAGTTGCTGAAACATCCACCCAAACTTTGCGTCTTGTCAGAAGTGGAACAGCTCATGTTTCTGCCTGCGTCCCACCCTCCACCTCTTTCTCCGCCGTGTCCTGCCGCATTCCTGCTGGTCACGACCGCAATCTTCCTTCCTCAGTGCCTGTCCTCACTGAAGGTACCTGGATTAAAGACTCCGATGTCCGGAGGCCTCAGGCCTCACAGGGGTCCTGAGAGGCCCTTTCGATGTCCTGTGATGACGCAAAGTGGCGTTGGACAGTCTGAGTCTAAATTGTATTCCTTGCAGGCTGCACGTCAGTGGAAAAGTACAATTTAAGCCAACCGTTGGCAAACGTTTGAGTTGCTTTAAAAACCCAAAGGAGGAAGAATTCAGCCGCCAGCCGCCGTGTGCTCTGTGTTCCTCTGTGTTCCAGGTCCCGCGGAGGTCCCTTGGAGAGCTGGTTCCTGTTCATTCACTTCGGAGGATGGGCTGAGATGGTGGCCGAGCAGCTCCTGAGGTCGGCAGCCGAACCCCCCGCAGCCCTGCTGTGGCTCTTGGCCTTTTACTACAGCCCCCATGATGGGAGGCAGCAGAGAGCACAGACCATGGTGGGTAGCAGCCCCACTGCATGTGTGTGGGGTGGGCTCTGGGGGGCTGAGGAGCCCGCAGAGGGGCTCTGTTGTGGGCTCGGCTTCCATGACACCTGAGCTCTGCCCACAGATGGCGTACGTCGTGGCACCCTGCAGGCGTGGCGACCTCCAGCCTTGTGGTCAGAGGCATTCGCCTGCCCCACCGAGGTGGCCAGAGACAGGACACCACATGTAGCCCACTGTCCCGCAAACGAAGACCCTTCCTCCCCGAGGTCGTTTGATCTGTGATCGCTCAGCCGCCGTATCTGCCCCCAGGGTCGCGTCCTCCAGGGCGTGCCCTGCAGAGACGGGCTGTTCCGAGGGGTGCGCTGGCAGCAGAGCCTGGCCACAGCCGGGGCCCCCTCTCGCTCCCCAGCACCCGGCCGGTTCTTCCATCTTGACTGTCTGCTTTCTTGGATCAGTCAACAGATCCTCACATTACTGGCTTTGTTTACATCTCTTACTAAAGTAATCACATGATATTAACCACTTTGCTTCTGAAAAAGGAGTTGGTCATTTCCTAAATCACAGAGCAGCTAAGTATGGGACTGGATAACTGTCTGTGGCAAAGACAGTTGTTATTTTATGTGGAATATAATAATTACAGGAAGCAATGCTTTGATTAAAGGCACTGGCACCTTCCTTGCAAGCATTTACTTCCTCGGTTCTGAAAACCTCCCCGGCCAGTGCTCTCTGCCGATCTTGGCAGCTGAAGAGGACGGGCTTATTTTACGTGGAGCTCCTCTTGGCTTTGGCGTTTTCTGTTGTCTGAAAACACAGGGACTAATAACGATGTCTGTGTATTTTATTTGTTTAAAGGCTTGCATGGCATAGGAAAGAAAAATAGTTTTAGATTTTAAAAAGTTGAAATTTGGTGATAGTTTATTTTAGATCAGAAATAAAGCTTTGTGAAGAAATTATCGTAACCCGCATATGTATTTGAGGATTGCTGTCTGATTAAAAAGAAAGCTTTTTATTTCTTCCCCTTTAAAAGAGCACATTAAACTAATTAAGGAAAATCCTGGTTGATGTTTTTAACAGTAATAAGATGTACAGGGCACACATGGTTTCTAAAGCCCTTTTATATTCTGTCTTATTTGATTCTGTATAAGCTAAGTTGGTAGATATGTGTTCAATTCCATCACAGTCAAAAGGGTACTGACAGAGAATCACTTTTGAAGTAAAAAGAAATAAATTATTCAATAATAATTTCTAGGAAGTTCTACATTGGCACATCTTCTACTAGCTAACTTGGTCCTTTTTTAAGAAAAAAATAACAAAACCTTTGCGTCGTTCTCCCTCGGGATGCCTAGGATTTTGGATGAGAGCGGATTGGCTCACTGTGAGTGGGGCGTGGCGGGCCTCTGCTTCCCTCCCCGCCGTCTGTCACAGGTGCCATCTGCCTGGCAGTCCAGTCCAGTGCTCATGTTGGTGCCTCCAGAGCCCCTTCCTCGCTGGTGCCTGCTGAGGCATTGGTGTATGTGGCATCCTGGGAAGGGGATTTTAGTTTCATGAATGATACGTACCTCTTGTTTTCCTGGGTTTTATGAGCTTTAATCCCTTGACGGCCTGTTGGGGGGCTTGAGAGACACACTGTGAACTGTGTTGGAGAGCATGATTCTTATACGACTGGATTGAAATGAGCAGTATCTGTGCATTTGCCTGACTTAAAAAGGCACGATCAGCTGGTCGCGTGTCCCCGCATCGTGTGCTGGGCTTGGCGTCGCTGCCTCTGTGGCCGTCCTTGAGGTAAAGAACGTGGGTGCAAAGAGCAAGCGTGTTCCCACCCGGGATGTGTCCTGCCTGTGAAAAGGCCTGTCCCACTCATGGCCAAGCCACCCTCTCCACCAGCAGCCAGAGTTCATCTCCTTTTGCCAACTGAATTGGATCACAACAAAATAAACAAAAAAATATGTTTAGATGCCCTTAAGAATCAGGCAAGGCACGATGATGACTAGAGAAAAAAAAGAAAAAGAACCAGGCAAGGTTCATACTCTTTAACCCTGTGGTTCCACTGCTAGGAATTCTCCTAGGGAACAGAGATCCATGCAAAGGCCAGCACTGTTCATAAACACAACAATGGGAAATGGCCTAAACTTTCAATAATAAGGCTACTGGCCAAATAAATTGTGGTATATCCTAACCGTGGAATAGCATTCTGTTTTACACCATGCAAAATCATGCTCTTGGCCGGGTGCGGTGGTTCACGCCTGTAATCCCAGCACTTTGGGAGGCCGAGGCAGCCGGATCATTTGAATCCATGGGTTTGAGACCAGCCTGGGCAAATAGACCCCTGTCTCTACAAAATATAGATGAGCCAGGTGTGGTAGTGTGTGCCTGTAGTCCCAGCTAGGGAGGCTGCGGTGGAAGGATCGCTTGAGCCCAGGAGGTGGAGGTTGCAGTGAGCAGAAACTGCACCACTGCATTCCAGCCTGGGTGACAGGGCAAGGCTCTGTCTCAGGGAAAAAAAAAAAAGGTCTTGAAGAACATGTTTTATAGATCTAGTGAACTGAACTGCTTATAGTACATTATGGAGAGAAAAATGAAAGATACAAAGCATTATGTGTAGTGAATGGTATGGTCTCAGTGCATAGAAAAAAGACAAGTATATAAACTGAATTATTAACAGTGAGTCTTTTTGGATGGTAGAGTTGTAGATCATTTTAATGGTTTTTCTTTTTCCCTTTACAAATTTCCCATAGTAAGCATATATGAGCTTTTATAATGCAAGATAAAAAAGTACTTTAAAAAGGAAAGAAAGCTTCTGCCTTTCTCCTGAAAAACTTCGGGCGTGTGTAAAGTTGCTGGTGTCCAAGTGGAAGCCCATGGGCACGGCGGACTGCAGGGAAGGACAGTCTGGGACAGACAGGAAGACGACCCCGCCTTAGGGATTATTGGACAAGGGCGGAAAGTCAATTGTGGGTCAAGAGAAAAAAGATATAAAGGCAGAGCCTCCTCAACCCCGGCATTTTTGCAGACCCGGTTAGATGGCAGAATGGCCTTGGGCTCCCGTAGACACCATCAGACCCTGGCAGACTGGGCCGGCTGGGGGGCGAAGTGGGGAGAGCGCGGCCACTCCCCGTGGAAGAACCCGATGGTGCAGTTTCTCACGGTCTCGTATTGTGGTCAGAGGAGCTCACACAACACGCCCAGTGTACTGGAGTTTATGACAGACCTCATTGAATGAGGCCTTGACTTCCAGGGAAAAAAACGCCTCACACAAAATCCATAAAATCAGTCATGGGAATTCTCAGAATAGGCCTAAGTATTCTTTCAGAAGTGATGGAACATAGCTGTTCATGAGTTCCATGTGACATTTGGAGCTCTGGGCTTTCAGTTTTTGCTTTGTTTTCCAAGTCACGACTGGGTGTACCATTCTTGTGGCAAGCAGAAACATCTCAGCATGGAGTAAGTTTTTTTTTTATGCAAAAACAACCTGCAGACTTACAATGACCATTATTATGTGGGTTCCACAGACTTGTGACCTCTGCTTGAGCATTAAGCACGTACAGATTGTTCCAGCGTCTAAAAACAAATGCATTCTTGTGTGTGCGTGTGGCCGTGCCTGTGTGTGTGTGCATGCATGTGTATGGCCGTGCCTGTGTGTGTGTGCATGCATGTGTATGGCCGTGCCTGTGT